TCCTATACCCACACCAGGTAGGGAAATTTCCAGTAAGATGAGTCAGTGTGATAGCTCCTTTGGGTTGGTTTTATTATATTTATTTTTTGATTATTCTATTGCTGTAGTGATTAGGATTTCAGATAATGAGCTAAAACAATATATTACTAGACTGGCAGTCAATCATATCACTATCACTTCAAACATCATTTAAGAAGATCTACTTTTTTTATTATTTATATAGCTCCATAGTTCATGGTGCTACATAGAACAAATCAAAGACAGATTCCCTGCCCCCTAAGAGCTTACAGTCTAGGCAAGTACAAGAACAACAGGAGATAACACAGGCAGGGGACAGAGAGGGGTAGTAAATGAAGAGATGGACGGTTAGATTACAGTCACATGAAAAGCTAGTGTGTTTATCTTAGTGGGTACAAACTGGGGAAGTACTTGAGTAACTTTATTTTTAATTAGAACTACATTTTATAGGAAAGCCAGAAGAAAAGGTTTTGAAAATAAATTTGAAAGTGTCAGAGGTGCTTGTAGGAAGGCAAAGAGGCAAGACTAGAAGGGAACAGGACACTAACATATTTGAGGTTGGAAAGCAATGATCTTGGATGTCAGACGAGTCAACCTCAGTGACCCTTTCATTTCCTACACATCTTTAAAAATATGACAAAAAGAACAATTGCTCCTGTACACCTAAATGCAGGCTGGTATCTTATTTTGCCTTTAATATTATATCAGTACACATTTCGGGACGTATTGGACAAAATCTTGATTTCTCTGAAGTAGGAGTTTTGACACTGCTTTCAAGGTAGTCAGCATTTTGATCATCATATTTTGTGATTGTTGATGTATTTGGAGACCCTAGTGTATTTGGAGACTAGAGTGAATTTCTGTCTAAAGTACTTTAAATATTTTTCTAATATCCTTAGTATAATAATAATACAAAAATTATTTTATAGCATTATCTTTTATCTCTTTGTGTGCTGTTATCTCTGCTGATGACCCCTTTTCCCTGAAAACATTTTGATTTTGTAGAATATCAGGGCATTTCTCCTACTTCTATTTGGGGCTTTGGATTTTGGTGGTTTTTTTTCTTCATAAATTATGTCTTTTCCATTCTGAAATATTAACTAGTTAGTGTAGTAGGGCTAAACAGCATTATTTTGTTTTTTTGGAAGACTCTATGGATGAAACCAGGAAGGATTATTGCACAGAGCCTCAAGTAATATAAACATGAAAGAACAGGTTCTTTCAAACCTATACTGAATTCTTCAACAGAAAATTGAGATAGAAACTTCAGAAAGTAATCTCTCATACAAACACTTCCAGATAGTCCTTGGATATGTTTGTATTTGTATATAGGAGAATACTATTAAATGGTCTGTTGATGTCTATAATGGGCCAAATCCTCATTTACTATAAAACATCACATATCTCTTGATTTCATCTATTTGGCTCAGAAGTTTCACTGCCAGTCTTTCACAAATGACATTTCTCAAAAAGCTAAAGGTTTGGTTTTTTTTTTTTTCTTTTGTCACTTATTCTGTAACATCCACATAGTTATCTATTTCTATATGACCATACTGAGACAACCTGAAGATCCAAACTGAGATCTTGAGAATCCTTAATGATTACAGACTTCTATCTTCCTTGAAACAGAAACAGGGGAGAAGAAAAAGAAGTCCCATTCAGGTTTTGCCTCCAATTTTCATCCACGAGGTAACACCATTGACTGATTTATAACTGCTTTAGAAGTCTTCTCTAGAGTGACATTCAAGGTCAGTCGGAGAAGCACCCATCATCCTGTCCTGGGAAATCAACAGACTAACTGAGCTAGTATATGAAACCACATAAAGCAGTTATATATGGATTCTGAATCTTCATGGGCCAGATACTCAATTTTAGCTGGTGTAGTTCCATTTACTTCAATGACACTATAGAAATTTATACTACATGAGCATTTGGGACTAAGCCATTCAGAGGCCTTTCAAAATGAGGGAGTTTTCTTCAGAATTGAGGATTTCCTTCATAACAGTGAAGGGAAAATGAACCATTGAGCTTTTTGGAGTACAAAACTACCAGTAGTATTTTCTATTACTTTGGGGGTCAAGTCTTTCTTAGTAATTTTTCCTCAAATGGCTTAATTTTCTGTGAAAAGTACAGAAATAATTACTAATGCACAACAAAGTAACAGTATGAATTAGTGTATGATTTTTTAAAAAAACTATTATCCTACTATGAATCTGTGGAGTAGATCAATTAGAATTGAGTTCTAATCTCAATCTTAATACAAATCTCCAGTTAATTTGCATATTTCCCTTAATGGAAAGTTGAAATTCCTACTGAAATCTTAATTAAACCACACTACTTCTGCATTAGGATTCTTGTTCCTTGGGGAATTTTGACCCAATGAAATATTTGGGACATATTCTGCAATCACACTTATTTTGGTTCACATAAAGCTTAATGAGAATTGGTCATGTGCATCAAGGTGAGAATGGAACCCCTGCTTATTTCAACAACCTTAATGGAGCTAAGAAAGGTTTGTTTGAATATAATACAGCATTTTATTACATGATTTTACAAATTTTATTGTAAATCATCAATCAAATGCAATAGCCAATTATTTTTTCCATTCCAAACCATCATAGTTATGAGTTTTCATTGTGTTGTATGACAATTACTTTCTTTCCCTTTGTATTTTAAAGAATTAACTTAAATATGTATTATGTAAGTATACTCATTTTCAGAATCTTTGCTGAGGGTGTTTTTATCTTGTTTATACTTCAGACAAAGATAACCTGTTCTTTGTTATCACATAAATTGGGATGAAAATCTCACAAATATAAAAGAATTTGCTTTCTCAGTCCCTATTCACAATGGAAATGGCCAGCTCAGTCTCTATGAAGATTTATGAGAACTGTGTAGTAGACAAAAACCTCCCCTTTCCCCCCCAAATTTCATGATGTAATTTCTACAATTTGGATGATGTAACTTATACTCCTTTGCTAGAAAAATTAAATTAAACCCCAGTAAACAAATTATCTCATTATTCACCAATGACTGATTATCTATGATAATTTTAGTTTTTTTTTTTTAATTTAGCTAAATGAATTTTTTTCCATATGAAGACCATCTTCATAATCTTTTTTGGTTGACATAACATTCCTATATGGCCCACCCTATACATTTTTTGCCGAGATATAAATAAATTTACAGTAGATGCAGGTGCAAGATTCAGCATCTGTAGGGCAGTATTTCAAAATGTTATGTCTAGGAACTCACCACAGGCAGAACATATAAATTAGCTTTGAAGCAGCTAAGAGCCAGATCCTGCAAAAACTTATCACAATGTGCTATACTGGCTTCTCTCAGAAATCCCAGCAAATGCTCTGGCCACACCTTTAGTGGCAAGAATCAGCAGGATAGGGCACTAAGTTGAGGCTAAGTACCAGTACTGACACAAAGTACTCTACATACATTGCTCAAATCACACAGCAAAAATAAAACAACTAAAACTGACATAATTTTAATGCTTTTTTTTTTTTTAATTTTGTGCATTGGATTCAAACAGCAGAGTGCACTTTAACTGTTATCACAATGTGGTCAAGAGGTCTGTGTCTTTTACCATTTACACACAATTGTTCATGACAGCATGTTATCAGCCTAGTGGAAACCAGGGGTGTAGCATGGTAAGCAGTGGTGGTAGTGCACCTATTTTTAATATTATCTAACTTGAAAATATGTCTCTTCTAAGATTCCTTTTTCTTGATAAAAATATTTTTCACCAAACGTTGGTGGTGCACACGCACTACCATTCATGCTTGGCATCACACCCCTGACAGAAACACATGTTCTTGTTTTGTTGATAAAAAGTATTACAAAAATTTCCATAGAAAAACTATTTTCATAGAAATCTTGCATTTCCACAAATAAACCTGAACATTTTTTTTTTGAAGAAAAAAAACTGCTCAAGAATTTTGTTCATTTAGTATTGTGACTGTATTGAAAAATGCAGTCCTCCTTAAAGTTCTCCACATTCACTTCTTTTAGGTGACCCATCCCACTTCCAATATTCACGAGAATTGCACAGGCTCCATTGAGTTCAATTAGTAGCAGGAACAAGGGTTTCAAAATCCATTCAGGCTAAAATGCAAGCCCTCTATGTGTGAAATACACTGCTTCCCACCCCCCTCCCTCTTTTCACAATTAAAGAAAAAAAGTAATTGCTTATATCTAAAGGTTGTAAGATACATTCCTTTGTACTAAGGAAACTTTCATTCATCTAAAAATTGGGTCAAAATTATGGATTTATTTTGTTGGTTTTTTAGATCAAAGTTCCAGCCCAGGTAAATTTAAGTTACTGATTTTTTATTATTATTATTATTTATTTACTTAGTTCAGTGACACAGACAGTCCAAAAAGCAGGTGAGCATCCTTATATTTATCCTTCTATTCATGGGATTCATGTTTCTTCACTTTAACATTTCTCCCATCCAGGAAGCTCATATTGCCTGTCCAGATGGTAGTTTCAGTCTACCAGCAGTTAACAACTCTTCTATGCTTGGAAGTTCAGAAGAACATATGTTTTCTTGTTCCACTATAGTTCTGAGATATTACTTTTACTAGACTCCTTCCATGGTTAGTATCGTCTTGGACATTTATTCTCCATCTCCTGGCAACCGTTGAACTTCAAAAGGAACTTGCAATTTTTCACTGAGACTGCATTTGAAACCAGCCACAAAACTCATATGGAACATTCATTCATTCAGTATGGTGGAAACCCATGACGAACAGTGTAACCCCGCAAAACTTGGTTGATCCATGATGCTTGTGATTCGAGTCTGGCCATTGCAACTGCTGAGATCACAGAGTCTCTAGTTCATAGACACAGCGGCATGAGGTAACTCATTTTATTTTGCACAGGTTGCATATTTCCACAGGAAACATTCTCGCAAGGTTGTTTGGAAAAAAGACGACAGTTTGTGCTTGGGGTATTTGGCTTCCCAGCTCTATGCCATGGTTTCTTTACCTGGCAACCTTCTGTCGTTAAACGTGTGCATGTTGATAACTTCTTCTGTTTTCACAATAACAGGGGCCTGTGGCTTGTGTTTTAATCGACGCTGACACTTCAGAGACATCCTTAGCTCCTCTACCATGGCGCTACAGAAGGACCTCTACAGAGGGAAATAGAGGAAGAAGAAAAAAAAATATCTGTAAGAAATGTCTAGCTGCAATGCCTAGAAGCAGATTCACTCTATTGGCACAGTCTTGTCAGTCCTGTAAGTTTGTTTTGTCTCAGCCTGGAGCTCATAACAAATTGCTGTCTTTTAATTATGCATCACATAATAATTAAAATTACTTATCAAGCTGTGATGACTCAGTGAAAAAATCACCTTGTCTCTACAGTTATTCATCTGGCAGATACTGACTATGGATACATATGATACATAAAAATATTTCAAACAGATGTTCTGTTAACATAGTTTAGTTTTACAGGATAGTACCTGAATGTACCATGTATATTAGATATTCAGTAAAGTCTCCTTGCCCATATTTCAAAATAATACTTTTAATTTCTATATGATTGAAAAAGCTGTTCTTCAACAAATCAACAAGTCTTAGTGTAGGAATTTTACCTAAATTAATATTTAAATACTATTAAAATGCAGACCCATTACTGAAAACAAATATCTACTCTGTTACTTTTAATATCTTCTGTATCTAAACAGTTCTTCCACTACTATCATTTGTAGAGTATATATTTGCAAAAAATATTGTTTCATCACTTTATGAAAAGCATATTATCAGAAAAAGTTTATTTACATTTTCATCAAAAGCTAGATCCTCAAAGCCCTTTTTCCATTTTACAGTGCAACAAATTTGAAAAGTAAAATAAAATCTCCCTTATTCCCTCAGTCTAACTGAATTCTCAATTGCTAATAGTGTGCTGAGCAATTGGCCTTCCTCAGTGTGAGAATTGGAGTGTGGATGAAATATGGAAGTAAAGAGGAGGAGTCTCAGTTTTGGGGTCTGTGAATTAACCACTTTTATCATATAGTTTAACTTAAAGGTTTTCCAGCTAATGGAGAAATGCATTAACTAAATAACACATCTCAGAGCCTGAAATGTTATGACAAGCCTCTGACAATTGCTCTCACCCAAAGTAAATTTAAGGTATAATCTAGCCCTTTGCATTTTGTTTTCTTAATAACTAATCTCCAGTCCAGGAAGAGGATCTGGAAAAAGGGGGGGGGGGGGGGGGGGGCGAGAAAAGGACAGAGCACCTGGAATTACTGTAAATATCTCTTGATCATTGTTTGATTTTTTGTGATTAGTGGTAGATCATCAGTCAATATATAATTGTCTAATTTATCTCCCCAATCAAGAACTTTATTTGTAAACTGTTACATCTCCATTATTCATACAAAACGGAAGTTTGGAGATTAGATCCAGAAAATATTTAAGCACCTCACCCTACCTAGTTCTTTGGGAGCCTAAATTGAAACTGTGTTCATCAAAACCTGCATTCAGCTTCCAACCTCCAGGGCTGAAGGCACTTTGAGCTGTAAGTCACTCAGTTTTCTGCATTAAACTTTATAGGTTTGTCCATAGTCAGTAGAAATTCTGCTAAACACATTGGTGTTTGTCTTAGTCCTGGATCCCACGAGAATTCACACTCAAGTTCTCCATGCATAAGGTCATCAATTCAGTAGGTGTGCTCTCAAAGGATCTAACAAATCAGGTTCCTCAAAAAAATTGGCAACTGCTAAAGAACGGCGCGTGGCAGACATTACAACTTTCTTCTGTGTAGCCATTCATTAGCTGGAGCATTAGAGCTGAATGTGAGACACATTTGAGAGTGTCAGTTCAACAGTGTCTTCTGCTGGAGGAGATTTAAGCTTCAGTGTCTCAGCAAAGGGCTGTAACTTACAGGTGTTAGACCATTCCAAGGTAAAAACACTTGCAGTTTCCACCTACTGATCCTGTTCCACTTTGAACGGAAGCAGTTAACAGAGGCAGAGCAGGAGAAAGGGAGAGAGGGAGACCACAGGCTGTTCTGTAGATTAGGGAATATAGCACACAGGGGTAGAGGAAAGGCTTCAGTGGTAGTTCTTGTTTCAGTGACAACTTCAATATGTTTATGTAACATTCTGTTTAGTGCATAAGAGTGCAAACATGAGTTGTCTCGGTCATGGGTTAGAACTTAACCTGAATCCCCCAAATACTGAACAAATGTCCTCTTCTCTAATCCTTTGCATGAATAAGGGAATAAGCAGGTGGGAAGGAAAGGGTAATCTTACTCTGACTGTGATATTCTTTCTTTCAAACATTCCTTTCTCTTGCTGAGTTTGAAATAAAGGTATGACACCTACTCAACTTATGATAGAGAGGGTTTAACCACCTACAACTAAGAAAAGTTTAAGTTGTGAATCCAAAGGAGAGGAAGGTATATCTTTATGGTGCGGAGTCAAGCACAAGTCCTTCAGAGGCCAAAGTTCAAGACACAGTTTGTCGTTTCTGGCTGGCTACATGGAGTGACTTCTGCAATAGACACTCATTAGCAATCCCTTTTAAAAACATTCCGGTGCACTGGGTTGATATCCAAAACAGAACTTATGGCTTTCATTGTGTGAATGAGGTGGCTAAAATTTCTCATTGAATGGTCTGATCTGTAATATGTCAGATCTTCATGCATAAGGTATCTTTGCTTAGGACTGTGTACAAAGCAGGAAACTGTACCTCCTTCTTATCCAGCTATACATTGAAAGAAAATATTCAATTCTTTTAGACTTTCTCTTTTTTTAAGAAAGTGCTGTTGTTTAACATCAGAACTGCAGTTATGATTATGAGTCTGAAATTAATCCTGAAATCTTTCAAAAGGGCAAGATTTAATTTAATATTCCCTAATGGCTTACAGGTTAAATTGCTAAGGCTTGCAGATCTTGGCATTTTCACTATATGGGGAACCTAGCACGTAACTCAGGAATGTCATGGGGAATCCATTAAGAAGTAAATGCTGCAACTCTCAGTGTTACACCACCTCTGGCCATTATATGGCTCCCACCTCTGGAGTCAAAGACCTGACTGAAACATTCTGAGGAACAAAATCCTTCTAAATTTAGAAATGGTGCATTAGCACTTAACACCTTCAAGATTTGGTCCCTTGTTTTTTTTTGCCAAGACATCTAACAAGAGTGCTGAAACAGAGTGAATCCTTTTTAAGATGCATCAATCCACCAAAACCTTTTGCAAAGATCTGCAAACACTTACCAAAGGGTATAAATTTTCAGGTAATATCAGTAGGAACAGGATTACAATCAATAGCCAAGAGGTAAGAAGATACGTGTACTTGATGCCAACATTCAGAAATATCCTGAAAATGAGATCTCAAGAAACTTACCAACACATTTTGTCTGAGAATTTTGCCTGGATCTGAAAACTCATTAAATGAGAAATGTTGGCAAGACTGCCAGTCTTAAAAAGGCAGTTAACACAATTTTGAGATAGCTATTTTATCCAGAAAATTCTTCCATTCTGTGTTTTCAAATTATTTTGTATAAATTAAGTTCATGGGAACTTATTGGCATATATGGTATTAAAAATATGATTTAATTACTTAATTTACTAAGTTTTTTATGTATGCTATGTATATTAAAATATCAAATGTCTGAAAACAGTAAACAGTATTAGCTCCCAGACAGTACTATTGTTTTGGTAACTGAGTACTGAATAAGAGAAATATTACATCTCTTTTTTTTTTATTATTTGCAAATTTCACTCACTCATGTGTTTTAAAAAAGATTAATTCAAGGCTATGTAAAAGTTCATGACCTGGATCCTTATTCTTCTTTGGGTTCTAGCTGAGAAATATAAGGAAGAGTTTTCCCACATATTGCAAAATCATGTTCAAAAAAATTCCTGTACAAAGGAATACTTTATGTTTGACCTTTTTTCAATAGAAATTCTTTTCTTGTCTCGTTTCAATTCCAACCTGTGTACAGTCTCCATTTTCTGTACAGTTAAACTTTGTGTTCTTTCACTGTTAGGATAGAACTTTTGGAGTAATAAGAGATGAAAAAAAGAATCAGCCCTAGAAAACTTTTTTTGTGACAGATAAATGACGTTTTCAGATATGATTTTAAAAAATATAATCCAATGTCTTGATCCTGATTTCAATTGACCATTCAGATTGTTAAGGAAACACAGTGAAATGTTTACAGAACTATAGGTTATATTTCAAAACTGTTGTCCGTCATGAAATTGAGCACTTTTAGTATATATTACAAGACTCTCAGCTTAATTCAAAGAAAATAACCTTTTGCCCCTGACTTACCTTCCACACTGCAGGCATGTTACAAGAACATTTGTTATTATTGATTTTTCACCAACCCTTACAAAATCATAAGTTGTCTTCTTAAATGTTACCAGAAAATAAATGCTGCCTCCAAGTTGTCTTAGATCTGATCTAATCAAATAGTAGAAGAGTTGAAGGAAGGCATACAGTTCTCTAAACACTGGTACAGTTAAGTGTAACTGTTTTGTTGCAGCAAAACAATCACTATAAAAGTTAGAAAAAAGAGCTGCAATTCTAAGTGGGGAGTTCAAGTCTACAAAAGAAAATTTTAATCTGACCTGTAGTTCTTAGCCTTTAACACAAAACAATTTTGAAAAAACTCGTCTCCTTAAGAAGAGTAAAGTAACTGATACCTCTTTCATTTACCACAGCAGACAGCTCACAAGTCATGCAGAATCGAGAGAATAATTTTACGAAATGTTACCACTGTTTACTATCTATTTAGACAGCTTGTGTATGGCTTTACGGCCTGAGAAAAAAAACATATCTTTGCATGTACGTATTAATATGAAAGATAGACAATATTTAAACTGTGTTCATTGTATTGCTTTATAGGAATTTAGAAAGATAATTAGAAATCATATTAGTATTTGTTAGACACAGAATTATGAGACTATCACCATAGATTTTGCTTTTAACAGCCTAAAAAGAGCAACAGGAAGACAGGAATGGCATGCCTGCACCACTCTCAACATTCTGATTTAAGTGATAATATTCAACGTGTTTTAAATATAAAAATCTCTACTCACTTGCTGGTTTTTATTTTTTTCCCTTTGATGCAGTTTATATAAAGTTGACTGTCAACATTCAATAAAAAAC